TCCAACAGAGCTTCGGAGCTCAGTGAGTGCTTCTAAGGACAATGCTGCTATTAAAATATCAGAGCAATGAATAATAATTACATGTGCTAAATTACAGAGTGCAAAAACTATCCTGGGTCTAATTCTCATCCTTTGCTTTATACTATTCTGTTTCTACTTGGAATGTGAGAGCAGAGTCTGAAGTCCATCAGCAATATAAATAGAATCATTGCTCTGACCTTTAGAATTCATTTGTATAGAAAAATCATTGGCTACCAAAATGATAAAAATCATTACATTCGTAATTATTGCTGTTGGAAGTCAAAAGTGTTCACTTAACTGATAATTTAGTATCTCTCTTCTGATATCTGCTTTAAATTGTTTGCTGTAAAAAATACACAATTATAATGAGTGAATATACACAATTATAATTAGTATAATTATACACTCAGTTATTGAGATTCCATATATATGGATTATTTGGTCAAGATATTCTGTTATATATTTCTTGTTTATTTTATTTTATTCCAGATCTATTGTTCTGATTTTGTTTGTTTGTTTGTTTTTTGCTAATAGCACTTAATAATAGGTGTTTTACTTATACCCTGTTTCTCAGGCATTAAAAAAAAACTATGTTATTTTATGTCAGGACATTTTGCAAGCAAGCACAATTCACCAAAGTGTCTTGACTTGGCAGAGCACATTTCGTATAGACAGCTCTGGCCCAGTTAAAATGCAGGTGCAGACAGGACATGGGCCACATATAAAAGCACAAACTGTGAACGGGACATGATGCCAGTGGTAAACTGCTCACCCTGCGTGCATGAGAGCCTGAGTCAAGAGGATACTAAGCAAGATGGAGCAATCCATTCTATCAGCACCAGGAAGGTGGAGATAGCTGCATCCCTGAGCTCCCTCACCAATCTAGCCTACTCGCTTAGTTCCACTCACAAAAAGATGGACGGCACCTGAAGAAAGACCATTGAGGTTGTCCTCTGTCCTCCGCATCTACACACCCAATCACACACACACATACACACACACGTGCACCTGCACGCACAAATACATATACACACGCATGTGCATGTTCATCCACAAGCATGTTGTGCACAACTGCAGCTTACTACAGTCTTCTACTTTATATTGTATTTTCAGCCGCTTATTGGATATCTGTGACAATTTGATTTTCAATAGTGCCCAATAATCTGTAGAGCACAAAATTCAATAATTTAGTTAAAAACTGTTACAGGAAGAAAATCGCAGGAGAATTCTAGTAAGCAGAGCTCAATTTTCAGGTTTGGTAGTTTAAAGATGAAAGGCCTTTTCTTCTACAAAAGGTGTAAACAGAATCACTCAGGTTGACAGGTTTTTCCGGGTCTTGCTTCCCCTTCATTTCAGAGATGAAGAAATCTCTAGGAGTTAGGACACTAATTCATCACCATATCACCATGGTCTTTGCAGTTACTGTATCTGTAGGGGGTTAGACACCTTAGCTCTCCCACAGATGCAAACCTTTCATCTCTGTCTCAGATGAACCTGGAGTCATATGCACATGATAGAAACAAGTTGTTGACTATAGCCAACTCGAAAATTGATTCTAAGGTACGAACTATTATGGCTCCCCATGCTATCCAGTGTACTCATTCTGTTCTTAGTCTGAGGAACAGAGATCCTGTCTGTAACTGTTGGCCTTTCTCTGCTTGTCGACTGTCTTATTTCCTTTGCATTTGTTCTCTCATTAGAGGCCTGTCCTGGCTGACTTCAAGTTTGCATTGTCACAATTAGATGCAATCCATGAATTTTCAAAACAGTTAAAACAGTGCTTTGCTTTGTGGCCTCCGAGATGAAAGGGGGCGTTTTCTGCTATCATTTGTAAAGCAGAGAGCAGAAATAGTTCCTAATTTCACTGGAGAGGAAATAGAGCCTTCAATACAGTAATGTAATATGTTTTCTCCTCATGACAGGAAATAACATAGGAGGACAAAAATCCATGTTCTCTACCCCTGCAAGATATAGTGCCTTTAGAATATGAGGGAGCAAGAAGACTATCTTGAAGTTCCATTGTTATAGGTTCTTTCTGATTTTCAAATATATTAATCAGGTGGGTAAAATGGAAAGGAAGCTACCACATTCAAACAACAAATCATTTTACTGAATTCCTTAAGTGTCAGTCATTGATATTAGATACAAAGTTTAAAAATGCTTTTTCTTTTTCTGCAATAACTGTGCTCTGATAATGCTAATAATACAAGTTATATTTCAAATTCATGCAACTTTAAAACCTAGCATATATATATATAGAACATTAACTTTACATGAAGGTAGAAGAGAAAAAATAGTCTCTGAGAAGAGCAATGATCAACATTTTGGAAAAGACCTCTGCTTACTTCTCTTTACCTTGTAAAGGATTCACCTCATTGGAATCTGAGCTCTGCAAACTGCAATGGTTGGCCCACCTTAGAAAAATCGGCACCAATTGCAAAAAGGAAGGTGTTTTTATAAGAACAGGTGCTGATTCGAAGGGTATGCCCTGACACAGATGAAGGTGAAATGACAATTCACCACTGTATTCAAGTGCTTTACTGTAAAACAATGAGGAAAGTGAAAACATGAAATCACAGGCTTCTTGTGGCTTGTTTGATATGCATTTGTGCCTGGCCACAACTCAAAATGGTAAAACTTCCACATGCAAGAGCTTAGTATGGAAAACCAGAATGGTATCCTAAATTAGAACAGCTAATTCAGTGTTAGTGTGTATGGTCGGGATCACACATCTAAAAGTCCAGTATTACGTGAGAGTCAGAGGGGATTGAGGACACCTGCAGAAAATGGCTCACATGGACTCACAAAACCTGAAGAAGCAAGCCCAGGGCCTGCATGGGTCTGCACCACGTCCTCTGCGTGTATGCTATGGCTGTTAAGCTTGGGGTTTTTGTGGGATCCCTAAGAGTGGGAGCAGGTCTATTTCTGACTCTTGCCTGCTCTTGAGATTCTTTCCCTTCCATTGGGTTGTCTTGGTCTTGATATGAAGGCTTTCTTCTTTCCCTGTTGTATCTTGTTTTGTCACATTTGATTTTTTTCTTTTGGAGGCCTGCTCTGAAAGGGAAATCGAGGGAGAGTGGATCTGAAGGGAGAAGGGAGGTGGAGGGAGGGATTAGGTGGCATACAGGGAAGGGAGACTGTAGATGGGATGTATCGTATGAGAGAAGAATCTACCTTTCAATTATTAAAAAAAAAATAATAAGATAAAATAAAGCCCAGTGCTAGAGCTGGTGTGACTTGTAGAATACTTGCGTACTATGTCTGAGGCCCTGGGTTTAATCCTTAGCACTGCAAAACACACGACACAAAAATTAAAAAGAAAATATCATTTATTCTTTTATGGTCCTTTAATTTCTGATGATTTAATGTCAACAGGAGTAATAATTTTAGCACAGAAAAGCTTTAAGTTTATTTTACCAGAACAATTTTATGTATTCTTTCCTTACCAAATACCAAACAAAATACACCCTCACTGCATCTGCTTACAATTTTGTATCTCAACAGTGGCAAATGCTGTGCATTTGTTCCTTATATTCTTGCTCACAAAGACATGTTTAAAGAGAAGGTGGGCTCCTTAACCAACTGAATTTTAGAATAGGATTGTTGCCATTTCCCTTCCTTGCTCACCTTAGTTAGATCGACCCCTGTGTCAAGCTCTAATGTATACTATGCCATTGAGGCCTAACACTGGAAGATGGCATCCACCAGTGTGGCTGTTCAGAAAGTCCCAAGATGGTTTAATTTATTCAGTGTTGCAGATTGCCTTAGCTTTGGCTTTTAGCACCACCTGCTGGACGAAATAACATCTGCTTATGATTTTCCACTGCAGATTAATACAACCCCTTGGTGCTCTATCCCCTACCTGTGGCATCCCGAGATGGGTGCTCACCCGTAAACTTCTTAAATCTAAAAATAACTCTGTAAGCATACCTTGAACTGTCTGAGATGTTTCCTTGATACTAATTGCCAATGCAAATATCAAAATTTATTTCCTTTATAATTAGCACGTATGAGTTTTACGTATTTACAGAGTAGTCTGTGATATGTCTGTATGTGTACATAATACGTTCTGATGAGATCAGGGTAATGGGCGCTTCCATTTCTTCATAAGTGTTTCATGTTTGCAAGCTCCTCTCATCCAGTTCTTCATAAAACATACGTCAAGCTACTGTGAACTATAGTCTCCCTGGCGTGCTCTTCAGGACTGGATATTATCCATGTTATCTGCTTTTTGGTATTCTCCTTCCACCCTTCCCTCTTCTTCTTACCCTTTCTAGACTACTGTAATAACTATATATTTTCACATCGTCCCTTTGGGGAAAGAGCATAAGGTCTTTCTAAGTCTGCAAAGCCTTAAGGTTTAAAACTCTGTGACTAGAACAGATATAAAAAGTATTTTACATTCTTAATCAAAAATTATTCTTTTTCACATTTTAATTTGTATTACTTATCTCAAATAAAGAATAAAATGACCTGTTCCTTTTTCTGTATCAGAATAACACACATTTAAATTAGATTGACTTCCCGATATAGCTAACCTTTTGTGAATAACTCTTTGTGAGGAGGGTTTTTTTTTTAAGTATAATTTTGCCATGTTAATATTTTATGAAAAATTTAAATTTAGTTTTGTTTTCTTCCTATAAAATCAGCTACTTACTAATATAGTTGATATACTGATAGACATCCAGATAAAATTGGATTTTGTTCTTACTTAAACTGTTTTAGTTCTTAACACTCAATTTTAATTTTATAAGAGGTAAAGTTGATAATCAGTCCAATAAAAAATGTCTTTCAAGCTATTTTGAGATCTTTGAACATGTTGGGTTTGGGGTGTGTGTGTGTGTGTGTGTCCTCATGCTTCTGTGAAATATATTCCTAGAAAGTACAGTGAGGAGCACAAATAGCTTGTAAATTCTCCTGGGTTCCCCTGCTGTAGCTTCAGGACAACACTCACAAACCCCTTTTCCTTTTGCCCAAAGGCTTTGGATGGCACACTGTCAACTCAGCATACGGGGATGCCGTTGTCATGCCCTGCCGCCTCGATGTGCCTCAGAACCTCATGTTTGGCAAATGGAAATATGTGAGTACGAGCCTCCTGGGGCTTTATGACCTGCTCTAAGTTTTTAAAATAAAATTCTCAATCTTCTTTTTTTTTTGACAGTATATGCTCATGTAATAAGACATAATGGTAATGTTCATCTGTGCATACCTATATAGAAAATTTAACTCGGCGTATTGAATGTCAATAATTTTTATGTTACTTAATGTCAATAAGATTTATGTTTGTACAACTGATACTATATTTAAATAAGTCCAACAGCTCAAAAGTTATAGATTATTTTTGTCTAATCCATCCATCAGTAAGTGTTAGAGGCAGACAGATACAGGCAGACTTCAGGAGTACAATCGGGCGCGGGGTGTTAGAGCACAGTTTTGTGGAGAAGAGCATTTTCTCTTCATCAGTTTCTGAGTGATGCAGTTACTGCAAAGGCAGGATATATGACTACCTAGAGATCTCGGATTACCACAGGGGACAGGCAATCTGCTTTGCTCCTGTGGCTGAGTCTTCTGTGTGTTGCTATTACAGATCAGTTAAACATCTAACATTGCTGATTTTACTCATTGCTTACACTTAAACTCATCGTCTTTTGCCAAGCATGGCCTGGAAATGGAGCATAGAGATACTGGTAGATGGGTGTGGTAGTTGTGTTGACTTTAACAGATGAATGCCTCAGTTAAACACAGATCAACAAAAGGTGTCTTTGTTGTATAATTTCCCAGTTCAGAGCCACAAGAGGTTACAATGGTGAGCAAGCTTCAAGTAGATAGACATTTCCTGAAACACAAGAGCAGGTTTTCCTAGTCCCTAAATATTTGCAGACATTTGCATAAGGAGAACATTGTTGCTACCAGATGATTTATTAACACAGTGAATTGTATGAGATTTTGGTTGGATTAATTTTTTTTTAGGTTTATTTGACCACAAATGTTTTTACTCAAAATGTCTCTCATTATATATATATATATATATATATATATATATATATATATATATATATGTTATACTAAATACAGTTTGGCAAAAGTACCTGTGCTTGCAATCAAGGGGTAAAGTGACATGTGGGCTATGAAATCAGGTGATCAGAGTCTAGAGTCTCCCATGGACAGGTAAATTAAGCATATTTTCTTACTATGAAAATGAGATATCTTCCTCACAGTGTTGTTGTGGGGGCTACGTAATTAATTCACAGCAGAGTACTTAGTAGGACTTGATAGGTAGCAAATAGCTACTACAGTCGTGGGGTTCAACACTGGAGCCACACTGTGCCTGCGTGTGTGTCATAAAATAAGAAAAGGAGGCAACAAATCACACTATATCGTTAGTATGTTCTCATTATCAGGTCACTCCAGGTAGTTTTGAATTCCTTCTAGTTCTCTGTAAAGGTGGCAGAGTGACGTTGAGGAAAGAGTTTATTCGAAATATTCAAGTTGCAAGTCTTGGAGTCTATCATGTAATGCACCCTCTGAACCAAATTTACTACCAGAATAAATGGAATCAACTGAGAGAAAAGTAAACTTGTGTGATAATAGCATGTCCTAAGTATATAAAACAGGGAACCAGATTCCACACTAACTGAATTGACACAATAGTGCTAGGAGCCAATAAATAATTGCTATTCCCAAATTGTTAGTTAAGCAAAAAGCTTCAGGAGTAAATTAATGAGTTGCATTTGAGTGACTCTCAAGTCAGTGATGATTTGCAGAAACACTGTGCATGCTCTGATATAAGGTAATTGGCTGGAAGAAAAGCAGAAGGTATGGAAAAATTGAAAGTGAGCAAACATAAGGAGAAAATAGTTAGATCCCCCTCCCATCACTGTAGATGCTCCTTGGGTAGAGATAATAGTTGTCAACCCTTCCCAAGCCTACCCTATTCCCAGCCTCTTCGTTAGCATCTGCTACAATGACTGAAACAGAAGAGCAATCTTCTACCACTATAGAAATCACTGCAGGGTACTCAGAAAGCAGCCATGCTGCCCTCAAATCTCAGCACCAGTGAGGTTTATCAGTGGGGAGCTTATGAAGGCATCCTATAAAAATGCTTCCTTCATTGTCTAATCCACAAGTGAGACCAATACTGTAAGTCTAACTGAAAAGTGTGTTATGAATATTAAATCACTTCACAGAAAATCAGAGAACGTACCTGCCATCTAATTAAGGGCTCAGATGCTAATAATTACTGTTTATTGCAAAGAGAATGAGTATGGAATGGTAAGGTATTTTGCTAACATATATCTCATAATAAAGGAAAAAATTAAGACATAGATTTGTACTGTAAAACTGGGATAAAACTACAAATTTAAGACAAATATTATTGATATAATTTACTTAAGTAAATGCATACATAAAAAACTAGAACTTTTGAATTGCTAAATAAGCTTTGCAATCACAACTAATATTTACTTCAAAACAAAACAAATCAAACTAAGCCTCTATAGAATCTTAACATTTTCTATGCATTTTAACATGGTTTTTCATACTTTATGTTTTCAAAGCTCTTGTGAAGTAAATAAAGGGGGATAGTTGGCCCTTATTTTAGACTTATTTTATTTGCTTCCTAGGAAAGGGCATTTTTATGAGACCAGACACAAAAGGCACCGTGTGGACCAGTATTCTTGGCACCATTGCCAGATTACATCTTACTTTGATAATGTTTTCATATGCAAGACTCTCAAAATAAGGTTTAAGCCTTAGGTGCCAAGCCCTAGGTTTCAGTGGTTAAACTCCTTCTCGTTTAGTGAAGAGGATGGTTTGCCAGGATGAGGGTTGTTAAAGGACAACCATATCAATGCCAGTTGTCAGAAACGAACATTTAAAATGTGGGGGTTAAAGTAATAAATGTTTCAAATACAGCTGCTTGAGACTCCTCAGGCCATATATCAACCTCAACTGTATGTCTACTTCGGTGATCTTTTCCTTAACATTAGTTTTTGTATTATTATGTTCGTTTTTATCTACTTTTTAGATGTGTATTAAACAAGACTACACTACCCCCATTCAAAATAGCCACCACCGTCCCACAGGTGTGAGAAGAGCTTGGTCCTGTCATTTTTACCCATTTGTATGAACCTATGAGGGAACCAAAAGCTTCACCTCATGTGAAGTGTGGTTTTTCTTTCTGTAAGCAAAGATTTATGTGCTGCTGCTACCTAAAACCCATTGCTCTTCAACAACACCACCAACAAAATCCCATGTAGAGTCATGTGACAAAGAGAAGTGTATGATTCTAAAACACATGAATTGTGTTTGTTTTCAACATTTATTGTTATTTTAATTTTTAGGAAAAGCCCGATGGGTCCCCGGTATTTATTGCGTTCAGATCTTCTACGAAGAAAAGTGTTCAGTATGATGATGTCCCAGAGTACAAGGACAGATTGAGCCTCTCGGAAAACTACACTTTGTCTATCAACAATGCGAAGATCAGTGATGAAAAAAGATTTGTGTGCATGCTAGTGACGGAGGACAACGTGTTTGAGGCACCTACACTAGTCAAGGTGTTCAGTAAGTAGACTGCAGTAGAATTGATAAGCGGCATTGATGGCTGGTGTTAGAAGGTGTTAGAAGGCTTGAGGTCTCTGCACTGCCTCTCCACAGGGAATTCCCAGACCTCTTTATTCTGCTTATCCTTGCTGGTAGCAAGGAAGATAAGCCTTGCATTAATAGGAGATGCATAGTGAGGTGTTAGAACAATACTGTGTTTCATTTCCCTGGGATATGAAGAGCTACCAGGGCCAACTGGCATATGACCCCTAAATTTCATTGGTTTGTTCAAAGAAAAATTTATAGAGTTGTCATAGTTATAGGATACATGTAGAAACGTGCATATGATACATGTGTATGCATGTTAGAATGAATCATGTGAAACTGTCATTTCAATATATAAAAAGAATAAAATACAAACGTAAGGTATTTTATGATCTAGAGATCTGAGAACTCAACTTGTATATATACATGCATATATGTGCATGTGTGTTCATGTGTGTGTGTGTGTGCATACTTTCTGACCTTCAATACTTATTGGTCCTATTTTTACCTTGTTTATATGGTTCAGAAAATTTCCCTAAAATAATAAAGCTCAGTACACTGAGAATGTACATGGGATTACAGAGGGAATACACTGAAAAAGATAAAGTAGGGTTAGAAGAAACTAGTAGAAGAGACTCAACATAATTACTATAGTTACCATAACATGGTAGCTTCGCCTGATAATATATAGTTAATGTTACTGTGCAAATAGCTATGCAAATGAATGACTTGAGATGTATAATTAAAGTGCTTCTTCTCTTAAGATTCAAATAAAAAGTCCCACCTCGGTTATATCATAATGTTTTAGAAACTATAGGAGGAAAAAGCAGGTCTCAAAAGTTTCAGAATACTAGTCTTTATTAATTAGAAAGACGGTCTTACTTTCCCACTTTCCCCTATCATTTCTGATGGCTTGACAGGTCCTAGAAATGATTAAAATAAATAGTAAAGAAGGAAACCCCGGAGGCTTCCAACTGGAGCAAGCAACTACGGATTTTTATGTTTCTCTTTAATAACCTATGCAACTAAGTAGGGCTGCCTCTTAAGTATTTATGGAGACTTCAAAGCTCCGATGGGTTCATGAAGTAGATTCAAAGAACACTAGCACCGTCAAAGGAAACCTTTGTTCTCCAGAATAGCCTTGTAAATGTGTATTACGTGTTTCAGTTGATTACCTTTTAGTTTTGAAGGCACTTTCCAGAAGCTTTCTCTATCATATTTGAATCAAACCAGGTCCCAATTATTTGCCAGCCCTGCCTACTTCCACAGGATACATGAAGAACTCGTGTTCTTCATTTCTCATTGGCCATGTTGGCTTTTTAGCATTCTTTCTTTCTCTTAGTTTATTTTGCCTTTATTAGAGAGAAGGACAGTAGATTTGCTAAGGACATTTTTCCACTAAAAGCAAACTAACAACAACAAAATTACCATAGGTTTTTCTATCATAAATACCAAGAAAGTGGGTAGACTAACTCACAACACAGATCATTATGTAAATTAATTTGCCATTTTCAAGTTTCTATAAATTGTGTTGAAATTATTGAACATCACAGTACTACCCAAACAAGTCAAAAACATTCCAAGTTATATTTAGAAGAATCATTTGTGACATTTTCCATTTTTTTCTTCTCTATAAAAAACTGCTATGTAGATAGCTAAAGTAAAAATCCAGTTGGTTTAATTTAATAAAATTTGTAAGCTACTTTAGACTGCAGAGGCTTTCTGTGACGGTGAAAACAAGCTTGCAAGCCACATACTGCTGGGACCCCTGCCCCCTGCTCTTCTGAATGTTGTTGAAAACAAAGCAATTCTCAGAAACAGAATTTGCATTCCAGGCTGTCGGCCAGAGAGAATTTACATGGCAAGTTACACACTCTTGAAAATGGCGTTGTATCTGAGAAACCAGGAAAGACCCTCCAAATCTATGAACATGTGTGGCATCACTTATGATCATGGCCATCCTAAAGACAGTGTAGGAACCTCGCTTCTTCTAGCACCGGCTGTGGCAGGGAGATTTCATCCTATGGCAAATGTATTTTTCAGTCACTTAAAAGTTACTGTCTCTCCTGTAGAGTTGCCTCCTCCCTTTTGCTCTGTGTGTGGACAGCTCCAATTACTCTGTCCAGTTTGCTGATCCTTCTGCTTGGTCGAATCTGCTCTTGAAGCTTTGTGCTTTTTCAGTTTGCCTTTATCTGACTTTTTATTGTCTGTTGTTCAATTTCTGTGTTTTTGCTTATGGTCATTAAAATTTACTTCCTATAAAAAAAAAAAAGTTACTCATCAACTAGTCCTCTGTTTCCTTGTATTGAATCACCTAGCAATGTGAACCCTGGATAGCTGCATCAAGTGTGGCTCCTGTGAGCTAATCTCAGATCAGCCTTCTGTGGACTGCCAGCCCCATGAGCAAAATCAAATTGGTTTCATTCAAGCCAGAGGGCCTGACTGATGACTTTACCTTCAATGTTGGTTTGTTTGTTTAGTTTTAAACTACAACTCTGATGTAAGAAATTATATCCACAAGCCAACCCAGGTCCAAGCAAGTAACGTGCCTTGTCACCACTAATCAGCTCTTGAATGGCATCAAAATCAAACTGCCCTTGCATTTAGAGCACATTTGAGAGTAATAAAACTGTTTGAAAGCAAAATTCGACCTTTGAAAGTTCCCAAAGATTCATTCCAATGATTGTGCAGAAGGCTCAGAGTTCAAACAGGTGCCCAGAGAGCCAAATGGCTGTCAGAGATGAGATGGAAAAATCTGTGAGCTAGTCACCAGAAAACCTTGGTCTCTCGGGGCTGCCACAAAGTTCGGACCTTGACAAGTCTCCACCTGCCTGGGGTTAAAATGACCTCTTGAGTAAAATGAACGCTTTATATTACATGAGAGGCTTTTCTCCACACCTGCTTAAAGCCCTGTCCAAGAACTAAAAAACAGGGTCTAGCATGGTAAGGAGCTGCTTCTATTAAAGTGATTGGAATGCTATTCACTGTTTCAGTGTTTTTACAGTAACCTGCTGAGGGAAGAAAAAGAAAAGGCAGCATCAGCCCTTAGGAGGTCAGATCTGACTTCAACAAGTATGGAGAACATTAAAAAAAAAGTCTTGCTTTTTTTTTTTAAGTCTTGCTTTTTTAAGGGTGTGAAACAGCTCTTGGTGAGCCTTCGAACACTGCAATCTTTTTTTATTAATATATTTTTATTAATTACAATATATTCATTTTGTATCCCAGCTGTAGGCCCTTCCCTAATCCCCTTCCAATCTCACCCTTTATCCCTTCTCCCAGTCCACTGATAGGAGAAGTCCTCCTCCTCTTTCATCTCACCCTTACCTATCAAGTCTCATCAGGACTGGCTGCACTGTCTTCCTTTGTAGCCTGGTAAGACTGCCCCCCAACCAGGGGGAGGTGATCAAAGAGCCAGCCACTGAGTTCATGTCAGAGACAGTCTCTGTTCCCCTTACTAGGGAACCCACTTGGATACTGAGCTGCCATGGGCTACATCTGTGCAGGGGTTCTAGGTTATCTCCTTGCATGGTCCTTGGTTGGAGTACCAGTCTCAGAAAAGACCCCTGTGCAGTCTTAATTGGCCCGTTCTCTGTGGTATGCTGTTGTTCTGTGGTATTACAAGAAAGCCTGTTTCCTGAACTTACTCCATCCAGGACTTGTCCTCAAGGTGTTGGCCAACGTGTGCCAGCACTACACATAATTTCACAGCTTCTACTTGGATATGACTCTTAATGCTTCATTGAATTGGAAAATTGAGACTCCCTCCTCCCTCCAGTAGAAATTCTTAAACCCCAAAATAATAAAGAAATAGTTTCAAGGGGAAAGAAATAGAAAGCAAGCTTTTAAACAAATACGAACTAAACTGTATGATACAGTTTGATTCTTCCATTTTGGGGAGAAATGAGGGGTGGGGAAACAGTGATCGAGGGTCTCACATAGATCAGGCTATTCGATAATCATACTATGTAGCCAAGGCTGGCCTTGAACACCTCACTCTTCTTTTACCTCCAAAGTCTTGGAATTGTATGTGTATCACTCTACTCAGGTCACTTTGACACTTATAATACTAAATCTACATTAGAAAAAAAAAGACAAAGACGACATTGTTCCATGGAGACACTAAGCTTAAGAGCTTGGGAGCTTGCAAGGAATTTGATTGTCAACAGGGACTGAGAACCTCACCTCGGCACAAACCTGCCAGGGCATTTGGCTCTGCTTGTTCCTCCACTGAGCTAGCCTGTATGTGGTTTATACAGGCATGCTAGGATACTGACTGCATCTTTATCTGTCCATTGGCGGGCCGGGTGCCCAAACTATAACTTTTAGTAACGTATTGATTTCTACATTTTTTTTTTCTGAAAATCAATATCCATAGCATCCACTAACTATATAGCCTGAGATTTAGAGCTAGAAAGTGGGGTATCTATTTTAGTATATTCATCCCTGATCAGTCCTTATCTCTGTCCCTGTTTCCTTCTAAGGAACACAAAGAGAAACTGGAAAAGCAAAGATTCTGTTTCCAAAACACTTGAAATTATGCAGCACTTTATATCTAGCTTAGCCTTTAGATATTTGTGGTAAGACTTCAAAGGAAATTAATGAAAGCCTGTGATGTCTTTAGTTAAAAAGAAATCATTTTAGCTTTAGAATTATATTTCATTGTTAAGAAACTGTTGTGTGACACATGATGCCAAAACACACACACACACCACACACCACATACACACACACATAGAGACTCACAAAGACACACAAATACAGAGACACAAACACATATATACACTCACATATCTACTCCACACAGAGACATATAAACATGCACACACAGTGACACACGCACAAACACACACACACACTTTCACATGTGACAAGCCACTGCAATTGTCTGGTGTTCCAGGGCTGACTATTTAATTTATTTTTAAAAACTTCTTGTCTTAACAGTTTTAATGTACCACCACATTGTGTCCCTATGATAGTATGTTCCTAGGTACTTCTGTTGAGACAGTTAGGCCAACAGGAAAGAAAAATATGAACTATGTCATAATTCTGTAATTAATACATGGTCAGCTGAGAGATTTTGAAGAGATTACTCAGAAATGTTCTGGAGCAAGCTTTGGCTTAATTTTAAATTAGTCACCTTGTTTAAATTAATGCTACCAGCAAATTTGTGGAGTTGCTTTTTCTTTCGATTTTATACTTGGTTATAAATACTTGAATCATATTAAGACATAATTCACATGAAGGTTTTTTCTTAAATGAAAACACTACTTAGCAATCAATATGCAATTTTGTTAAAATAGTATGTGTCCTTTTAATGGTCCTCCAACTAATATTCATTAATTGTTACAAGCAAATATAAAAGAAAATTACATAGAAAAAATGTGGTTAATACAAAGGGTTTGAAGCAAGAATATATGAGAAAATGACCCAAGGAAATAAAAGAGGTACTAATTATTAAATTGTCATTAAATCACAAAATTTACTGTGACTCCTTCAAAGAAAAGATGAATAAAAATTGCAGAACTAAAATTTAGGCATCCTTTCACCAGGTCTTATGTTGTTGTTGTTTTCTATAAGTTTATTAAAATAATCATGAATTTTAGACATAATTAATGCAAACAAGGTACTTCAGAAATTTGGCATACATGCAGTATTTGTGATTATGTGCCTATTGGTAAAATATTACCAGGTTTAATAAGAAATAAGAGATAAGTTTACCACATATCAAGAGGAAGCAAATAGGAGCTCAGTCTTTCTCCTGTTGTACTTTGTAATTGAAAAGTAGTAAAATTTGACAAATTTACCCAGCAAATTTGTATTCAGAGCCTATATTTGTATGATTTGCAAACCTTTCCACATTTTCCAAGCCTATTATTACTGAAGGAGAAATTAAATACCAGTTGTCTTTTCCTTTCTGTTAATTTTGACCCGTTTTTAAAAATCAGATAAATTAATTAACATGTTCTATCTCTTGAGTTTTTAAGGATGGTGTTGCTTAAGAATTGGCTTCTGCGTCTTAAGAGCTTTGGTTTATTTAATTAAGACACAAGAATTTTCATTTATTTAAGTATGCTGGGTGCATTCATCTCTCAATGTATTAAATGCTTGTCTTTGATAGCAGGGGTTCTAGGCAAAAGTCAATGTTTGATCAATAATTCAGCTTTAATTTGAAGAGTATTCCATTAAAATGCTGAGAGCATTAAGTTGTGTTAACATGTGAAAGATTTAACCTCCATGCCAAATGCTTCCCCCACAAACTTGTGACTCTTTTGAGGGGAAATTTTGTTAACTTTTTTCTAATGTTTAGTCATTTTCTTAACACTCAGTGACGTGGTTGTGGTTGTCACTTATTGTTTGTGTTAACCTTGGTTGTCTATGTTGTTCATTTGTATTGCTGTGATTCAGACTCTCTCTCATGTTTAGTTTCCAACTGCTACTATCATTGTGAAACTTCCATTGGCAGAATTATATTTCTAAAATTTATAGTAAATAAGCTCTATAACTCTCTAAGTAAAGTGTATGGGATCAACAAGCAAGGTAATTATATTCAATGTTCCAATACAAAGCAAACCTGCAAAGGGAAAATTAATATTAACATAAAGAATGTCACTTTGTCTTCATACATTCTAGTGATAACCATTTTGTAACTCAAAAGAGTTTTATCTTTTTATTCCTATTATAGTCTGGTTAGGTAAATCTTTCAACTGAACCCTAAACTGAATAGTAATAATACAAAATTCAATTTAGTTTAGTGTGGCAATCAAAACATTTGAAGACATAAACCTTAAAACTATGAAAGGAAAATGATTGGTTTCATGTATTTATAAAAATAATTCTACTATGAATGATAAGTCTATTTACATTTTCTATAAACTACTCAGTTGATCTATTGGGTTGGATAGTTGGTTAATTGTATTGTGACAAGGTTTCTTTATGTAGCCATGGCTGTGCTGGAACTTGCTTTGTAGACTAAGCTATCCAGCAGCCTCTGCATACAGAGTGGTAGGATTAAAGGCATGTGCTATCATGTCCAGCTTATTTGATCTGTTTGTAAAGTATAAAATTCATCATTTATAGAAAACCAGAAGAATATAAACTGTATATTAAGACTATATTTTAAAAAGTAAACTCAAAAAAGCAAACCTAAAAAAGAAAACCCTCTAATAATCTAATCGATAACTGGGCAAACAGAATAGAAAGTTCTGAGAAGTACAAATTGCCAATAAATATTAGATTAAAAGGTTTTATATTCTTGGCCACTCGGGGATTGAGAGCCAAGACTACATTAAGATTTCCTCCTATCCTAGTGAGAATGGCTCTTTTAAGAAATCAAACAATAAATTCTCATGAGTACAAAGAAAGGGACATTTTACACAGAGCTGGTGTGAATACCAATTAGTGGAGTCACTATGAAAATCAGAATGATGATTCCGTAAAGAACTGAAAACAGAACCACTGTAGGATGCAACTGTATCATCCTTAGGTATGCACCCAATGGAAAATTTGTGTTCAAATACAACAGAGATGCCTTCATGGCCATTATTATCACAGCACTATACTCAACAATCAAACTGTGGGTTCAGCTCGAGTGTCCATCATCACATGAGCAGATAGAAAATAAATATAAGCCTAAACATTATTACTCAGCAATTAAAAAACCAATTATGTTTGTTTTTGGAGATATTATGTTTGCAGAAAATGGAAAAATTGAAGGTCGTCATATTAAGCAAAATAAGATAGGCTCAGAGAGAGGAATGCTATATTTTCTTGTACATATGAAATCTATGCTTAAAAGTATAAGATTTGAAGGCATAGAAGGTACTTTTTTAATAAATAAAAGTAACCAGTACAGAAAATGACAATGGGGATAAATAAAATCAAATTTCATAATACAGCCATAAAAGAATGTCACAATGGAAGTTTTTGTTATATTGAAACATGAATATACACTAATCAAAGTAAAATACCTTAAATTAGTTTAAGAACTCGTTTCTTAAAGTTAATCAGTTGTTCTTGAAACAACTTTTGGAATTTGTTTATAGAACTGTCTGTAAATTCTTTGTCTTCCATCTCCCATTCCAAATTGGGAAGATTTTCTCATATTTTCATCATTTCACAAGGTGAGATAAGAGATAGATATTGGTTTATTTAGGAAATTGTGACAGGTATGTCACTACATAGTTTTTCTCATTCTTTTACTACCATGGTGTTTGCACTTCATTGTTCCCCTAGAAGCTTGTTAAAAATATAAACCAATAGGATTTTCCGTGGCGAGCCTGAAGGCTGCTTAAGCCTCAGAATGCATGTTTCAAATAAAATTCTTTGTGATTTAGATTCATATGTAATAACATCCTCAACTAATGAGTTGGAGGCCTTCTGCTCATTAATAAGAAGAAAGTACCCCTGGTAATCAATTAGAAGTAATATGTCCTAATTAGAATATTGGCCCATATTTATCATCGAATCTATATTCACTTCACAAAACTTCTAGAGAGCATTAAAGTATTTTATTCAAAGGCAATATAAGCACTTAAAATAATACATGAAGTCATAAAGCAAACATATGACAGGTTATACCTACTGCAATACATAAAACTCTTATTTGAGAATTATCCATTCTTTATCATTTTTGCTTTTGTTTAACATACACAGATTCTGTTTTTCATAATTATCTGTCTTTTATCTCTTCCAGTATACTTAAACTTTTTTCTACTTAACTTTAGAGCAACCATCTAAACCTGAAATTGTAAACAAAGCACCATTTCTCGAAACAGAGCAACTAAAAAAGGTGAGACCTTGTTTTTATTAACTGTTTTATTCAATCTAGGTGCCCCTAGATGCCCGGACAAACAAGAAGCACTTGCTATTATGGAGTTTAAACTGCTTTAGGTCCAATCAGAGAATTCAGAAAGTCACCGTGAGAACAATGTGGCCACTGTCCTTTTGATGATGACAGTGGACATGTGGAAGGAGGCATGGCCATTTCTCAAGAGTGAGTCTTTCTGGTGTGAATGAACCAACTACTCGATAGAATCAGTGAATGATACATGGACTCCCTACAGATCAAACACGGAGAGGTCTTTTCAACTAAATGAAATTTTGAGATGGGAAAGAGTGTGGTCTGTCCAGTAAACATTGATTTTTGATGTTTTAGAAACTTTGGGTGCAAAAGAGAACATGAGGAGATAAATCTAAAGAGGTAAAAAGTTCTGAGACTAGTCAAGACTTGTATAACATTTAGACTTTATTCTATTAAAGTAAATTACTGAAAGTTAGAAGTACACAGTGAGAGAAAACAAATACAACCAATCACGTTAGCACAGGAGGGAAAGGAAGTAGAATTGATAAGCAGGTAAAGATGGATTTCCACTTGTAAGCATATCAACTGAGTAATATTCTCATCCTTATTAACCAAAATACCTCAGTATTCCTTTGTTTTTATAATGAGGGGTAAGAGTAAGTTTTGGGGACCCTATTTAAACTTGGTGTTTAATAAATGTTTAATAATGTAGTCAAATCTCACTTGAAGACAGAACTGAGGATTATAGAACATGGCAAGTATTTATACTGTGAAATGAAAATGGAATTGGAGAGGTGCCACATTTTAACACTAAATGATTCTTTCATTTGAAGACATATGAACCATAGCAATAATCAATATTAATATAGTTATAATGTCATTTAGCTAATATTAAAAATGGATAGCATCAAAATGAATTTGGGAATGTCTTTAAATGGATGTGATTTTATATACAGTGGAAAGCTTTACTGTACATTGAAAACTGTGTAAGACTAATTTTTAATATAAAGCATTATTTTTATATATAAGATTCATAGGGTGATTTCTTAGAGTTGGAAAATAAATGGTTCAAGGTACTTCATTTCCTGAAGCACCATATTCTGGGCCTTCCATGTTGAAACAAGGATTTGAAATAATTTTCAATGAGGAAAGTTTCCTTTGCATTTTTCAGTTAGGTGACTGCATTTCAAGAGACGGTTACCCAGATGGCAACATCACATGGTACAGGAATGGAAAAGTGCTACAACCGCTGGAAGGAGGTGAGTCTGAGGCAGGCAATGAATTTCTGTAGCCTGTTTGTATATTTTATGGGTGAATCATTATTGAATGATTAGGAGCTGTCTGGAATCGAACATGCTGCCCCTTCTCTATCGACAACTCTACACTTCAGTTACGTTGCATGCCCCTGAACTCACTGGGTGATTTTATTAGATGTCATTTTATCCCTTGTGTGGAAGAGTCAAAAGTAGAGTGGGGTGTTTCTATATGTGGCATATTCTAGAAGTTAATTAAATTGAGTGGGAGATAGGATTTCAGGATTCTATTTTTGCCTATGCCTCTGATTCACAGTTTTGAAATGACATCTTACCTAACCGAGTGTCAATTTACCCCCCTGATAATGACAGTTAGAAGGACAAGCTCACATCTCAAAGGTGTTGGGATATTTAATTATGGAGTGTGTGTGTGTGTGTGTGTGTGTGTGTGTTTTCAGTGAAAGATCTTATCACTGATGTTCCTTACTTTCTTTAGAGGTGGACATATTTTTTAAAAAGGAAATTGATCCAGTTACTCAGTTGTACACCATGACTTCATCCTTGGAGTATAAGACAACTAAGGCTGACATACAAATGCCGTTCACCTGTTCTGTGACATATTATGGACCCTCAGGCCAGAAAACAATTCATTCAGAACAAGCAGTCTTTGATATTTACTGTAAGTAATGGATTATGCAATTGTATAATTTTAATATATTAAAATAATATTCAAATACTTTAAATCTTGGAAATCCTAATCCAGTCCTCCTCACAAAATTCTGATACACAAGTAAACTCTTCTTCTTTGGACAACCTAAAATGCTTATCACTTAAGAATAGGCTCAACTTCCTACTTTATTATTTATGAATATGTGTTCTGCACTCTATGAGGTGCCATGTTCCTTAAAGATTTGATCTATAAACTGACAAATTCCCTCCAATACTCTCCAGCCATAACATATTGCCGTGGGTTTTATAGGAATTCCTAATGACTTCTGAGCTTTTAAAAAATAATGATAATACTGGGCAACTACTGTCTTATGACTGACTAGCTTTCTAAGTTTAAAATTACCCAAGTGAATCTTAAGACTTGGGAAATTGGCTTCTGCAAGAACTGGTTTGTATGTGAGTGCCAGGAATAGAGAGAGGTTAGTGGCTGGATCCTTGAATTCACATGACAATGGCACAGTAATATCATAGGCACACACGGGAAGGATTTGGCATCAAGAAGACAATACAGGCACTGCTGAGCTTCTTGACGACAACTCAAAGTAGCACATTCAAAGAGGTTGTTCTTCCAGCTGAGAATGAAGACACTTACATCAAAAGAAAATTGTCAGTATGAGGTTACAAGTGAGGAATGTCACAGAAACAGAATGGTGAGACCTGAAAGGTCAGGTGTCCAAGGACAGTGATTCTGGAAACTCTTGAACACATTAGTAGAATATGAAGGACTTGCTAGAAAACAGATTACAGGACATCACTCAAGTAAAGTGATCCAGCAGATGTGAAGATGTGCTCCTTCACAGTGAATTTATTATAGAAATAAAACAGTAATAATGTTTGATGATACACGGGGCACATTTGGGAAACCAGTATTACAGGGAGACTTGAGAAAAGAGAAAGAGGTAATGATAGAGGAGGACATTCAGTAGAGAGAACTAGATGAAAGAATGCAACCCGAGAGAGCCTGAGAATGATGCATCGGTCCTCCCCCAGTTTTGTCTTTGTGTTCATGTGATTTCTGCCTCTGGTACTCACTTCATACACCCATCCCTGGTTCCCTGTGTTTCCTGCAATGATTGCCAAAATGGTGTTTCAGAAGGCTTACCTCTCTCTCTGCTCACCCAGCACAAGCTGCTCATCATGTTGCTTCCAGAAATTCTTTCAGCTTCAGCATCCCTGCTGTGACTAAGCCTCAGAATGCTCAGATTCCTCTTCCTGCACCTGGCTGCTGGATTCTCTGAGTCTGTCTTAGCCGCAGTAGCTCACCATGTGTCAACCTTCACCACCACACTTGACACACTGCTTTCCTTTCTACTGCTCGCATTCCTCTGGGAGAACAGGATTCCCCGTGTTTCTCATCGCCCTGCCTTTCTCATGTAGCAAGCCCCAACCTATTTGACTTATTTTTTAAAACATTGCTCTCGAGGGAATTCAGCCCCTCTCAGATGCTTCTTCTGCTCACACATGTAGGTTTTGCCATCTGTGCAGTGTGTAATGCAATCATCTGAATTGTTAAATTTGGTTTTTCTCATAAATGGATAAAGTTCACTGAAGGGAAGAGCACAGTGTTTTCACCTTTATGATCCTTGAACATTACTTATATAACACTGGTGCTAAACTAATAAGTCTTTGACTGGGTGGAAGGGTAAGTGAACAAATAGGTATGTGGAAGAAAAAAATAGAGTACTTTTGTTGGTAAAATACAAAAATCTCACTTGATGTAAATTCTAGATAACCCTGTGTACTAAATTAGGGAATATCCATTTCAAATACCTATGTGTAAAAAAAGTATGAATGGTTCTGAATATTATTATAATAGTCAAATCATTGTCTTATAAAACCATTTTAGAGGAAATAGTTATGAAAGTGTAGAAAAATTTGACGGCAGTATCTCAGGTATAGGTTAATAGGGCATAGACTAGGAAAGTACTAAGTGTGAACAGAAGGAAAGAATCAAATGTAAGATGTACTAAGACACTAACTACTGAGACTTGGTGCTAGACTGAGATGGAAGAGGCAACACAGAAAGAATAATGGGAAGAATGACTTATTATTAATAAGTAGAATAACATCTAAGTCTGGGACAAAGGGATAACAAGTGAAGATCAATTTTGTTAGGCATGTAAAAGGCTACCCAGAAAGCTACCATAAAATGCAAATGCATTACAATAATCCGCTGATCATACTTCGGTTCTTCACCTCTCTAGTGCAGAACTGATTGACAAGGAGTGCGGATACCTCAGTCAGGATGATCTTTTCTAGATCCCACCATTTGCCTGCAAATTTCATGATTTCCTTGTTTTTAATTGCTGAGTAGTATTCCGTTGTGTAAATGTACCACACTTTCTATATCCATTCCTCAACTGAGGGACATCTGGGTTGTTTCCAGGTTCCCAGAAACAGAAAGACACACATAGTATATGCTCACTTATAAGTGGATATTAGACAGATAATATAGGATACACATACTAAAATCTGTATACCTAAAGAAGCTAAGCAAGAAGGAGGACCTTGGGTAAGAAGTTCAATCCTCAGTCAGAAAAGCAAATGGGATGGACATCAGAAGAGGAGAAAACAAGTAACAGGACAGAAGCCTACCAGAGAGGGCCTCTGCAAAACTCTACCCAGCAGTGTATCAAAGCAGATGCTGAGGCTCATAACCAAACTTTGGGCAGCCTGCAGGGAATCTTATGAAAGAATGGGGAGATAAAAAGATCTGGAAAGGACAGGAGCTCCACAAGTAGAGCAACAGAACCAATAAATCTGGGCCCAGGTATCTTTTCTGAGACTGATACTCCCACCAAGGACCATGCATGGAGATAACCTAGAACCCTGCACAGATGTAGCCCATGGCAGCTCAGTCTCCACGGAAGGGGAACAGGGACTGTCTCTGACATGAACTCAGTGGCTGGCTCTTTTATCACCTCCCCCTGAGGGTGGAGAAGCTTTGCTAGGCCACAGAAGAAAAAACTGCAGTCAGTCCTGATGAGACCTGGTAGGCTAGGGTCAGAGGTCTTCCTCCCCTATCAGTGGACTTGGAAAAAGGGCATGGGAGGGAGGGTACAGTTGGGAGGGAATGAGGAAGGGAGCTACAGCTGAGATACAAAGTAAATAAATTGTAATTAATATAAAAAAGAAAAATTAAAATAATTTTGAAAGGAAAAGAAAAGAAAAGAAAAGAAAAGAAAAGAAAAGAAAAGAAAAGAAAAGAAAAGAAAAGAAAAGGAGTCCAGAGAAGGGACATTGAAATAGAAGAGGAAGTCAGACATATGGCTCTGGGTATCCTCTGTCAGCCTTGATCAGAGACTCAGCACTGTCCCAATCTAAGAAAGGACCATGTTAAACCATGAACCTGATATGCATTACAAAAACAGTTGTGATGAATCCCACAACTTTATGCATCTAAGGTGCACTAACAAATAAAGGAATGGAAAAAGAAGAGGTGCAGGCAGGAAACCCAGAAATGGCAGCTGTCAATGGGATGCCAAAAGCAAGCTTTGTTCACTTCAACTCCACTGGATCCTGCTGGTTGGAGAGCTATCTGCAACAAATCCAGAAATAAACACATGTAATAAATCCCTAAGCAGTGTGCAAACCTCAGTGTTCAGTCTTAGGGCATGGCAATGACCAGTGTCCACACATAGATTAGTGTCAAAAAAGCAGTCTACAACAACTTTTCTAAATTTTCCTCTGCAATTTAATTGTAGGCATTACATGCATGACTGCAAGAAATGGAGAAGGCTTCTCAAACAACCTATCAGTTTGACTTTACTAGCTAATAATAAAATAGGTCTTTGTCGATAGAGTATTTTGTTCACAAATTTGAAAACAGGAAGATATCTCAGTCACTACTCATTTTTGTCTATCTTTTTAAATTTGTCCCTCATGGCATTACCCAGCTATGTAAATCATGAATATTGGAAAATCAATCATTTGTAGACCCACCGCTACCTGTTTCATTTTCTGTTTCCTAGCTGCTGTTCCACAGTGTGCAGCATTTAATTCATTTGGCATTTCACTATTGAGTAATAGTGTGTGTTTTAAAATACTCAATATCTCTGTTTTTCTGCAAAAAATAATAATGTGTAATTAAAGTTATATCATGGCTTGTTTTAAAGAGCAGGATAAAATTACAGCATATTTATGATCCTGATGACTATATAGAGATCTCGGGCTCAATTTCTGTCCTTGTCCATCTCTGTCTCTGTCTCCTTAAATATCTCTCTCTGCCTCTCTCTCTCTCTCTGCATGCATATGTGTTTATGGAGTTAATTTTTTTAAGTAGATACATTCCAAAGTAGATGCATGCCAAAACACTACTGGTGTTGTTTAGCTCATGTCTCTTAAATTTACTTTTATTATTGTATAGTAAAACTGCAATGGTATCCAGTAGCTTTAGTGACTTTTCTACCTGATTTAGCCCTTCCAAGCTATAAGATTCATATAACACCATTCAACTCCCTTATAATGAAGTCACACGGTGAGATTGTTCTACTGGTCTTTTACACATAAAAATAATTATAGTCATTGCCACCTCAGTTAAAGGCATTTTGCTAAGAAGAAATTGATTTTTATGTAACACGGTTCTTTGTAGTTTTCTCTTACCAAGATTAGTACTTGGTATAGCAAGTGGCTATTAACTTCAATCCCTCCATAAAAAGATACATTTAAGTAATTACCATTACTAGCTTCTTGAGAAAATTGTGTATAATTTAGTCATTTACGTTGTATGCACAGAGTAATTTGGTACTTGACAAAAACGGTTAACTTCTGCTTGTGACTCTTGCAGATCCCACAGAGCAGGTGACAATACAAGTGCTGCCACCAAAAAACGCCATCAAAGAAGGAGACAACATCACTCTTCAGTGCTTGGGGAATGGCAACCCGCCTCCCGAGGAGTTCATGTTTTACTTACCAGTAAGTGCTTAAGCATTAGCTGGACTTGACTGCTATCATTGTGTCCTATTGTCTGGATTCTAACTGACATGAACAATTGTATGTACTTGGGTAGCTTAAGTGAAAGGAAAAAAAAAAGTGTTATTCTTGGGAACAGAAAAAAAAATAAAGACAGTAAAAAAAAAACCACCACCTGTAGAATGTCCGTTGAAAGCTTCTGTGGCACCAATCTTCTCTTCTTTCTTTTTTTTCCCCCTCAGTGTTTAGAGAGTTCAGAGACAAAGAGGAAAAAAGAAGCAACCACAGGAAAGCATAATTGCAGAAACTCATGGTACAATCACCCAAATAGGACACAAAATCTGCTCTTCAGAAGTAGATCACTGCAAAACTCTAAAGGGGTGATTGCAAAGGGACTAGTATGGATGAGGATTAATGCAAGGGCTTCTCTGAATACACTCAGATCTTTTGAATCAAGACAGTTACACATTATAGCTTAGCAGACAGCACCGTTTCCCCTATTAAATATACACACTAACATTTTTTTATTGACAAATAAAAGTTTTGAAGCTGAGTTTTCACGTTGGCTATTAGGGTTGACAGAGCCGAACTCATGATCTAGCTTTACAACTAGTATCTGCCACTTTTCTTTGATGCTGGTAAACTCTTGCCATCTCTGTATTTGCCTTCCTTCATTTGCTTTACTTTCTTTTAATCATTTTCTCCTTTTTGTTCGTTAGCTCTTGCTGCTTTTCATTCTTCTTCACACTTCCTTATTTCTGCCTATCATTATTTGGATATATGAATGACTTTCCCATCTTCTTACTTGCTTTCTCTGTTCCTCTCCTGTCCTCTTCCCTCCCTCCCTCTCCCCTTCTTTTTCTCCTCTCCTGTCTTCTTTTCTCCTTCTCTCTGTCTCTTTCTCTATCTCTGTCTGTCTCTTGTCTCTTTGTGTCTCTATCTTTCTCTTTTTCTCTCTCCCTTCTTCCCCCTCTCTCTCATACATGAAATGACACCCAGGGTCCCTGCACATGCCAGACAAGGTTTCTGCCACTAAATTACACCCCCATTCCTTGGTTCATTAAGAGATAGTCTGAACTTGAACTCACTATACAACTCAGCCTATCCTAGAACTCATAATCCTCCTGCTTCGAAATCCTGAATGTTGTAGGTACATACATGTATCCAAGGCCCAATCAATTTTTCTTCTAGAACTTCTAAATGCTTTTATCTGTGTTGATAAGGCACAGTACAAGGATATTGATGTTTTAAAAATCTGCTTTAAAATTTAAACTTAAGCTATGCTCTCAAAAAAAAAAAAACAGATGGCATCAATACAATGAAAAACAGCTCTTCAAACTTTAGAACCAAAATATAAATTGCTTCTCAAATCTTTGTAGAATGAATTTTGTTTTTGTCTAATTGAAAAGTATGGTTGCTTTTTTTCCCATATCTGAAAAAAAAATGGCAACTTCCTCAAGAATTATAACCATTTTCATTGTAGCTCCCAAGTATAACCATCTAACATTTTGCCTCCACCCAAAGGGGCAGCCTGAAGGAATAAGAAGCTCAAGCACTTATACGCTGACAGACGTGAGGCGAAATGCCACAGGAGAATACAAATGCTCGCTGATCGACACAAGAAGTATGATGGCTTCAACAGCCATCACAGTTCACTGTAAGTCACCTACTCAGGACCTGCGTCACCTCAAAGGCCTCTAATAACATTAGCTGGCTAACAGTTCTAAGTTCAACACTATCTTTCTTAAATAACTTGGTGCCATCTTACTCAGTTTAAACACCATTAACAGCTTTCGTGCAGGTTACCACTGCCACGCTGAAGCCTTGCAGTACGGCATGAAGCCTTGAAGTCTGGGAACTGCAAATCTGTCAGTGGTGAAGCCCTTCCTTCTAAATGTCTTTAGTCATGAGTAACACTAAGTAATATTCATATGAACCTTAAATAACTCATTATATATTTAAATATATGTAGACAGAATGTATAAATATATGTATAATATACATAATTTATTTTATGCAGTTCTGAAGATGGATCCCAAGGCTTTGTACATGCTAAGCAAGCATTCTGCCACTGAGCTATTCCCCCAAGCTCTATTTATATAGTCTTGATATTAACAGGATTTGCATTTTTACCAGGGAGAGTGTAGATTATATATCTCATTTTTAAATTACAGGGTACTGTTAGCACTCAGATCCATGCATCATAAAGTCACTACAGATTCAGCACTGGAAGCGGAAGTAGAGGTGACTAAAAGCCATTTATTACCTAAATTTATCCTATGCAAAAGGATAGTGAATTGGCGGAAAGAGAACCTCTTTAGAATCACCTTTGAGTGACACCTTTATTAAATTTTGATCTGCTTGGAGGATTCCAGATGCTTGGAAATTCTATTTCGTCTCTGAGAATATGTTGAGGGGGTTGGGGGGAGTGGAGGCAGGGAAGATCCATTAGGAACAGCATGTAGGAGATGGAGAGATGGCTTAGTGTGAAAAGTCCTTGTTCTTGCAGATGACCCGGGTTGATTACAGAACCCACACAGTGGCTCACAACTATCTGTAACTCCAGTCCCAGACGACCCCAACTTTCTCTTCTGACCTCAGAGGGCACCACACACACATCCATACAGGCAAAACTCTCATCCGCGCAAAACAATAAAATAAAGAAATCTACAAAAAAGAAAAAAGAACAGCCATGAAGTTTGAGTATTTAATTTTGTAAATCATGAAAACACATATTTTAACATATCAGAGGCTTCTTTAAAATAATGATTTATTTTTTATTAACACAATCACCTGTGTCAATAAAACTCACATGCTGAATAGAACTCCTAAATGTTTTGCATGTCTGTGAGTCTTGTTTGGAGTTACAGGCTGAATGAACCTTTCGCCAAACAATGCAATCAGAAAGATTTCTCCTAGAAATGATCTGCTGCAGTCCTGCAAAGCATGAGTGGTCTTTTTGCTTCGTGTTTTGTTTTGTTTTGTTTTGTTTTGTTTTGTTTTGTTTTGTTTTAGGTAGATTAAGCAATAGAGAAAAGGAACTGAAGGTCATCAGAGAGAATGACCTGCAGATCTAGTGCAGGATCCTCTGTAGCACAAGGCCTTTGAGGAACTGAAAACATTTGTAAAGTTTAAGCATGGGACCTGGGCTATCCATTGACCACATCCCCTGAAGGCAAACACCACGCATTTGTCAAAAGGGCTCAGTAGGGAACAATATGGAGGACATACTGTTCCCATTCAGTCAGAGTACAACTCGATGAGACAGAAGAGAGGAAGGAAGCAAGGTCGAAAAACATTCAAGGAAACTGCCATAAGCAAGGTGCTCTGCTGTCTATCTACAATGCTTGGAAAACATGGAAGCAAGGAACCAAAGTTTAGAGGGAAATTCAGGAATATACACTGAAGAATAATACAGCCAGACGGTTGCTTGTCATTGTCTGATGTTGGATGTGCACCCTTGGGAGCCCTGTGGAAACAGTGAAGTGTCGAAAACTTCTAACAGCCAAGCTTTTTGTAGGTCTCTTCTGTCCTCATGCTCAGGATTGAGTGTGTCTGCCATCAGGTGATAGTAGGAAAACAGTGACCTCTAAGTAGAACAATAGTGCAATTTTTTTACTCTTAGGACCAGTCAGTCATGGGACCATTATCTAGCCCTGTTCTGTAAAGGAAAGCAAAGAAATACAGCCAACAAATACAAGTGCTTGTGAATAGTCATCTGGTAACCTTGTCCATCATATCTTGAGGCTAGTTACCTATGTTCTAGTTCCTGAGTCAGATGCTTATGTTTAAGAGATGTGAGGTACATGGTATCTTAAGAGTGGAGAGCTGTCCCATGTATGGCATGCAGAACAGACAGGGAGGACTTGACCACACACTATAAGGAAGAAGACTTGGTGGCAACCACATAATGACTGTAAAGATAGTCTGTAACAGAAAGGAGAAGCAAACAGAATATGGGGAAAGGTAACTGAAATTTAGTGCATTTCATTAGATCCGACTGTATTCTGGTTTTAACAGACTGACTGTAACATTGGGTTCTAAGGCCTGAATGTCTCCTTAAGAGCTAAAGAATTATTATGCTCATCATCATTATATTCTACATTAAATAAAAACATGAAAATTATATTTCCCATTCATCTTTGCTGCTTTTCCAAAAGCAGAATTTGTTTCTCGACGGAAAAGCAGCATTCATATACACAGAGGGGCACAGAACAGACCTCTTAATGAGAGCATATTTCTACAGATCCTGAGTTACTGTTAAACAGTTTCTATTCTTCTGCCACATCTTACAGACATAGATTTCTCATCAGAAACTTCAAAGTCCATCTTTAGCCTTTAGCATCTTATATCCTCTCACTGACACGTTCTTCACTCCACAAATAAAGGCTCCTAAGTTTCTCTTTTTATAATTTTCATAGAAACATAATTTATACATACACACACACAATCTAACAAAACCATTTTTTTCTTTTATTAATTATTTTAAAATACTCACTTGTATCCCAGCTGTAGCCCCCTCCCTCATACCCTTTCTCATCCCCTCCCGATCCCACCTTTCCTCCCTCTCCTTCCATGCTCCTCCCTAAGTCCACTGAGAGGGGAGGTCCTCCTCTCCTTCCCTCTCACCCTAGCCTATCAGGTCTCATCTGGACTGGATGCATTGTCTTCCTCTGTGGCCTAGTAAGGCTGCTCCCCCCTCAGGGAGATGTGATCAAAGAGCCTGCCACTCAGTTCATGTCAGAGACATCCCCTGTTCCTCTTACTAGGGAACCAATGGGCAGCTCAGTCTACAAAACCACTTTTTTAACAGATGGTGCAGCTATTATTATTAGTGTAAATTAGAAAGTATGCTTCTTCCATCACTCATTTAATAACCGTAACTCTGAGCCTTGATGTATCAGGTCCTGTGACTATATCAGAGAAAATCAAGGCATGGTGAGTACTCATGCTTAACGAAAAAGACAACCATTGAGAATGCTATTTATAGGTTGGAGAGATGCCTCAGTCAGTACATAGGTTACTTCACAATTATGAGAACATGATTTCCTATCCCCAGCAACCAAGGGGGGGGGGGGGACATGTATTTGTAGAAGTCTACAACCCCAGAACTTGAGAGAGTGGATAGTGAAGATGAGAATCAGACAGGGCACTGAAACTCATTGGCCAGTCAATGTAGACAAACTGCTAAGTTTCAGGTTCTTTATTAAAGACTATCTTCAATAAAATTGGATAATGAAATAGGAAGACAACTGATTTGACACCTGGCTTCCATATGCACCTGCACACAAGTGCATATACACCCATATGCGCACATACACACACATACACACACTCACAGGTCTATTACCACATCCATACATCATACATATTTCTTTTACAAAATGGCACAGGAAATGAAAGTCAAACTGCAACAAAAATCATTAAAGAGAGACAAGAGGCACAAAATCACTTCTGGACTCACCTTAATTCTGTAGTTTACACACACATTCTACAAATCCCAACCAGCAGTGCAGGATGACACAGCAGTGAACAGCCTGCTGCATTCTCTCTCTCTTTTTTCCCACGTGGAAATGTTTTTCCCTATATTCCCACCTACCAAAGCACTTAGTTGTCAAGAGACTACAACAATGCAGTGTCTCATTTTCAAAATCTTTCTGCTTTAAAACACGGTTGGGTTCTATTCTTTTTACTCATTTGGTCTCTGCTTGTGCCACTACTTAATATTTCAACATTGAGTTCTCTGAATGTGTAAGAGGTTTGTTACCAGGTTCTGAATTCACAGGTGAGGCACTCAAGTAGACTACATGTTGCCTCCATCCTTTTGGGTCAAGTCGTCGTTCATGCACAGATCTTCCATTAGTGCTTAGAACATAGTTGTTGTATGACAAAATTTGTTCCATTGATTTGAAGTTTTCCTACAAATCATACTCTAAGATTTATATTTTAAAAGTCATTTCTTACCTTACACATCCTTAGATATGCTTATTCTACGTATTTTTTTTTTAAATTATCTGTTGAAAGTGTACCCAATAATAGGTCTTATTCAACATTTCAACTGCATGGAAAATGGAATAGCATTTTAGAAATAATTCAACTATTTGTCAATTTTCTCTAAAGAAACGTATGCACTATCTGATAGTTTTTCCATTTATCACCTGCTGTCTAAACATATGTGATTTTCTTCTGCAATGTCTTATCAACTCTCTTTCATAATACTTACCTACTCATTTTTATTTCCTTCCTGAAGTGAAGTGATTTCTTTTTCTTAAGGTGATAGTTCCCTAAGAAATATTTATATGCACCCCAAACACCAATTGTGTTAACTGAAAATCAATGCAAAACATTTAGATTGACCATATATTTGTCCAAGTTGGCATCAATGCTAACTTGTAAGGATAAGCTGAATCATCTACAGTCTAGTTGCTTTACTCACATAAGTCTGTTCTGATATTCAAGTACAGTTGGAAAAAAATTTTCCATTTCATCTTTTCACGTCCAAAATATTGTTACTCTCCTGTTTTCTTGTAGTTTTTATTTCAAGCAGTTTTTCTGTCTCACAGATTTGGATTTATCCTTAAACCCAAGCGGGGAAGTGACCAAACAGATCGGTGATACCCTGCCTGTGTCCTGCACAATATCTGCTAGTAGGAATGCCACCGTGGTGTGGATGAAAGTAAGTACAGATCCTCCCCTCCTGCCCTCTTTCTTAGAATGCGTTCTTTGAGGATTCTTCCCGTGTCTTGTTTTACATCTTAATCTGTATATTTGCACTTGGCTTGTAGGCTCTTATCCATCTGCCGTTCACTCCTCTTCTCTCTAGTGTTTTGTCAATTCACAGTCGATTGCAGAGGCGCTCAGCTGCACTGTAACATCATTAATGGATGGACTGAAGCATAGCTTGGTGCATTGCTTTATGATTACATAAAAAAGAGTGATCTACACATGAATGCACACACACAAGTACACAGTTATGTGTTTAAAAGACGAACCTTTTGGAGTACATTTTAACTGACATCCTTCCTGCAGTATCTTTGTGGGAAATACTGCTGGTTCATTATTTTTCCCATCATTTATAAGGAAATTGAGGCAGATAGATCAGAAAACTCACAAGTAGATAGAAACTCAAACCCAGGCTTTCTGGATTATGAGTTGTTCTGTAAGCCAAGCCAAGCCCTTTTGCCTCCTCTTCGGTATCCAGACAACTTTTCTGTCTCTAAAAGCAGGTTCTTTGGAATGACAAGATTTTTGATGCTAGAGAGGCCCTTTTACTTCTAAAACATTCTATGGTCTTGTTTGGGAATCTCCTGTGTAAGCTCATGTAGTCTTACAACTCTACATAAAGACTGTGGCTTGGGACCCGGTCATTTGTACTTTTTTTTTTTTTTTTTACAATGAGAAAGGAGGATATGTATTTGGTGCTCTGAGTTCAGCTTGTCCTTAAAGCGTAAGTCCATGACTATGGTATCACTATTTATATGTTCGGCTAGTGTTTTCTAACAGACAGAGTATAGCATGGACCATGGACAGGAGCACCCAACTAGAGAAATTCAGAGAAAATAAATATCCACATCATTTGAAACAGGGGTCTAAAATATCTTTATAACAATCATGCAGAAATTTCTTACTAGGACTTCTTCTAGATAAAATATTATTGCATAATCCTGTTTTCTAGTCTCAATGCTAGATACTCAATGTTATTCTCTGTCTCTGTTTCTGTCTCTGTCTCAGTCTCTATCTCTCTACCTTTGTCCCTCTCTCCCTTCCTCCTTCTTTTTCTCCTCTCATCTCCTCTCCTCTCTGAAACAGTCTCCCTATGTAACACTTACTATCCTCAAGCTAGCAGTGTAGACTAGGCTGGCCCCCTGCCTCAGAGTGCTGGGATTAAAGGTGTGTGCAACCACACCCAGCATTCTTTCATTCTTTGAGCAAAGTCTTTTACTTTCTCTTAGGCACAATCTTATCACAATTTGTTTTTCTCTCAAGTAATTACAATGTCACTCTTCACCATCCTTATTTAACATGTACTATTCATAGTACTTAACAGTCACAAATCTAGACAATTTATAAGCAAGTAGAATAGACAATGACTGTACAAACTTGAATAGGTGTTTTATTCAAGAAAGAAATGTAAATGTAAATGCCTGTAATTCCAGCAGTCAGGGAGGCAGAGGCAGGTGGATCTCTGTGAGTTCCAGGCCAGCCTGGTCTAAAAACTGAATCCATAACAGCCAAGGTTACACAGAGAAACCATACCTCAAAAAAAAAAGAAAGAAAAATAAATAAGTCTGTACATTAAATATGAAATGCAGGCTGTTGCTCTTATTGGTTGAAGCATAACATCAGTATTGCATTATTCTCATTCAACATTTGTTGATGGGGAAGCAGGCAAAAGAAAATCGTAGCATACAAAGACCCAAAATCTTAGAATTCTGTCTTTTCTGCTTTTTCATTTAAATTTCTAAAAATATGATTATCTTATGATATCAATTAACTTTCTAAAAATACTAAATATTACTTCCCTTTCTTTTTAGAAATTAGAGTAGTAAGGTTTTCTTAATGATTGCATTTTTCATACCTTTTGTCATTTTATAGTGAACCCCCAGTGTTGATAGCCACTCAGATACAATAAGTTTTGAGCACTTATGCCCAGCACTGTTTAGGTTCCATGAATGGCTTATGGAACAGTCCTAACACAGTAGTAGAGACTGACAATTGAGACATTTACCCAATATAAACCCATTGCACTATTCATTGGGTTATATCCTCAAAACACTTAGAAACAGTAAGAAAAAGACCACATTTCACCCAATTAAAGGAAACTCAGTCTGAGAAAATCATGAACTTGTTCCGAATTACCAACACTGAAACAGGAGTCTCTGAACTACAGCTCTACTTGGGTTGACTCCAAGACTGCAAAGGATAAGGAAAGTCTATTTTTGAAAGCATCTTACGGGCTTATTTTTAAAAGCATACATTATATATACATATGTTAGACACAGAATAACAACTTTGGGTTATAGAACACATACATCTAAAGTCACAATTGTGGCAATGGATAGATAGCTCAGTAAGAACTTATGTGCTTTATTCAACACCCAAGAGTTTTGTGTGAATCCCTAGAACCCACCAGCTATTATGGTGAGTGTCTGAAACCCAAGAATTGGGGTCTAGAGACAGATTGATCCCAAGAGCTTCTTAAGCAGCCAGTAGCCAAATGCAAGTTTCTGTATTGGTGAAAGACCCAATCTCGAGACAATAAGAAAAAGGATAATATAGGAAGGCCCCGGATGATGTACACTGGTCTCCACACACACATGCACAGATGTAGGAATCCAGACATCCAGGTGCATGTACCACATACAAATACCTCACACTCACACCCACCACACAGAGAGACACACACATACAAACACAATAACATACACAGTAATTGAAAATATAAATAAACAGATTTACAAACAAATAAAATGCATGCTCTCTGAAGTAATTGTGCTCTACATTTAACCAGGATAACATCAGACTCCGATCAAGCCCATCATTTTCTAGTCTTCATTATCAGGATGCTGGGAACTATGTCTGTGAAACTGCTCTTCAGGAGGTTGAAGGACTAAAGAAAAGGGAGTCACTGACACTCATTGTAGAAGGTAGTGAATTTTTTAGAAGCAATTTTTTTTTTCCTTCAAGGATTTCATATCCTGTCTCTTAATATTTCAATTGTACTGTTTTCATTGTAATAATATTTTAGGGAAACCTCAGATTAAGATGACAAAGAAAACTGACCCCAGTGGACTCTCTAAAACCATAATCTGCCATGTGGAAGGGTTTCCAAAGCCAGCTATACAGTGGACCATTACCGGCAGTGGAAGCGTCATAAACCAAGCAAGTATTTCTCTTCTTTTTCTTTGCTGCCCTGAGCCCTAGCTGAGTCTTATTTAGGCACCTGAAGTGTAGGCTGGTTACCACATGGAAGATGCAACAAATGCTCAGAGAAAGTGTTTGTTGAACATACCTCAAAGAAAACATTTAAATCCCAAACCCGTAGAAAATACTAAAAAGCATAGTGTTGTGGTAACTGTTTTAAAAAAATAAAATAAAATTTGATATTTCTCCATGGTCATTAATTTCTGAGGCATAGGTAATTAAATCTTAAGGTATATGCTTTTTGGAACCATAAACTTATATGTCAAAGTATAAGTAGTCTCCATTATTTTGCCTGTTTACACACGTTTAAAGATACTCCTTATTGAATCTGGGCCCCATGGGTAGTAACCTACATAGTCACTGCATGAAAGCACATGATCCAGTTTGCTTGTTACAGGACTAGGACCAGAACAAGGCTGCTCAAATGTAGTATTTAGGTTGTACCTTCCTGGACAATAAAGGTCATTAAGGTAAACTTAATATCTGTAGTTTTGGTGAGCTAGTTCAGTTGCCACAAGGTTTGCAACTTAGAAATGCTATGAATACTTCCTTCTTAATACAAAGTCAGACCCAAAAAATAGAGAAACAGATGAGACAAGGAGAGAAAGATTACAAGCCAGTTGCTAAGTCAGTCCCACTAGTCAATCTGTTTGGAATTGCTACTAGTTCAGAACTTTAATCTCACTAGTCAATCTGTTTGGGATACTAATATAATTTTAGCTGAACTTTCTCTGTAGTGGCCCTCAGGTCTGCTTAGATCATTAGCACCAGTTAAAGAGCCACAGGACATAGACTCTCCATTTCAGGTTTAAGCAGACACATTTAAAGCAAAAATGTGCAAATTAATTTTAAGTTGAAAACTCCTCTGTCCTCTGTGAAGAAGTTCAGCTCATATAATATCATTTGCTAAGCATGATGGATCTGGGCTTTTGCCTGTGAGTCATCCAGATACATTTGCATATGTTCAAGCAAGAGCAGCCCTCAGAGTGGTCATGCTTGAAGCCAATGATTTTTGACTGGATTAACTACATTTGAGTCACACAGTTAAAAGACCGTGCCTGGGAGGGCAGATAGGCAAGAAAACTGTCAAGCCTGAGAAGGTGTGTGCTTCTTTATTTGGAATAAAGTCCTGAATTGCTGACAATGTGCATAAGGACTTTTTAGTATCAAATGCTAAAACTGAAATGCTAAATAATTATAAATGTTTCTTTCCTACTCTAATTTTTTCTCTCTCTCTAGTTAAGCAATAAGTGCCATTGAAAAGAAACTAAAGATACTGATACATAGAAAGTAGAAAAAAAAAAAAACACATATATTTGATGAGTGAAGGAATATAACAATGTAAAGGAAAATGCTAGAAATAAACAAGTGTGTTTTGGAGAGACTGGAGTAGCAAGCACAAAGACTCAGGGACAATAGCAGGTACACTTACAGGAAGGATGGAAATAATAATGTCATTCTTCATTGTCACAGAGAAGGTTTGAGTCTTGCCTGAGGGAAGAAATGTTATTTTTCTTGTTCTAGGTCTGAGCTGATCCATCCATAATATTTTATTTGTTCTCCCCTCCAAGGCATGATGAACCTAGTAGTTTACAACCATGAGGCAGCTCCCAGGGAATAGAGACTGCCACACTCCTATCCTCAAGACACATACAGTATAGTTAAAAATAAAGCCAAGAGAGAAAATCATAGGACACAGTCCAAGAAAGTAACCAAGAAAAGAGTATAAATGCATATTTCCTTGAATTGGGTTGCATTTGTGTCTTATTCCAAGAATGACTAAACTATGTTGTTTCTCTTTTTAATTTTCAAAAATGTCTGTAATTTTTTTCCTTATTTTTATTGAAAATCTATTTTTCATGCAATATATTGACTACAATCTAGTTTCCCTCTTCCTCAACTCCTCTGAGAGTCTCCCCACTTACACTTCCACAGAATTCACACCCTTTCTTTCTCTCATTCAGAAACAAATAGACATTTAAAAAATAACAATACAATAAGATACTGTAAAAAAAACAAACTGGAATGTGACAAAACCAAGGGGAACAAAGCACAAGAAACATATAATCGCAGACTTACATTCTCATCTCAGAGAATGGAATTTTATGTAAGAAGTGGGAAATAGTAAGAGCTGGAGGGAACGGGAACTCCACAAGCAGAGCAACAGAACAAGATAATTTGAACACAGGGAACTTCCCAGAGACTCATACTCCAACCAAGGACTATTTGTGGAGATGACCTGGAACCCCTGCACAGGTGTAGCCCATGGCAGTTCAGTGTCCAAGTGGGTTACATAGTAATGGGAAGAGGGACTGCCTCTGACATAATCTGATTGGCCTGCTCATTGATCACTTCCCCCTGAGGGGGGAGCAGCCTTACCAGGCCACAGTAGAGGACAATGCAGCCACTTTTGATGAGAACTGATAGACTAAGATCAGAAAGAAGGAGAGGAGGACCTCCCCTATCAGTGGACTTGGGGAGTGGCATGCATGCAGAAAGGGGAGGGAGGGTGGGATCGGCAGGGGAGGAGGGGGGGGCTTATGGGGGGATACAAAATGAATAAAGTGTAATTAATAAAAAAATAAAAGATTAAAAAAAACACAAAATTTCAAACTATAATATTTATTCAAAAAACACATCAATTAAAAAAATAAAGAACCTTAAAAATAGGGTGCAGAGAATTCTCAAAATATTAAACACAATAGCTGAGAAGCACTTAAAGAAAAGCTCCTCATCCTTAATCATCAGGGAAATACAGTTCAAAACTCTTGCATTGTCTCTAATACTTGGAGATACCATGCACCGAGATGCTCCGATCTGTGCCTCAGAACAATCAAATACACCTAAGTCATCATTAAAAAAATTCACTTTTTTTACTGACAAAAAAAAATAATTCTGAGAAAAGGAAATGGTTTTATTTACCCGTGAACAAATCATATATGCATTGCGCTTTGATATGACACTTTAAGATAAGAGAACAGATGCCCAATGCAAAGAATTTACAAAAGAGAATAGATGTCTACAGGTAACACAGTGACCTTGTTCACAAATAAATGCTAACGTTCACTGAAAGGACACAGTCATTGTAAGACTAATAACATGCTTTGAAACAAAGCCTAACTGACACTGCACATCTATCAGGAAAAAAAAAAAAAGTTTGATTGATGTATTAAAATCCCCAAGAGAATCATAGACAGAGAAAGGCCAATCTTGCTTTACTAATCTCGTTTCTGCTCACTGCAAAGCTCTAGGTGACCTTATTTGTGGTTTCCACACATCCTTAAAAGCAGACTGTGGGACATCCCACCTGCCCTGTCTCATCCACCACGATTCTTTCCCAGATGTGTAAAGCTCATTTCCACTTCTAAACTTATCTTCCTTCTCCTTCCAGACAGAGGAGTCTCCTTATATCAATGGCAGGTATTATAGTAAAATTATCATTTCCCCTGAGGAGAATGTTACCTTAACTTGCACAGCAGAAAACCAACTGGAGAGAACAGTAAACTCCCTGAATGTCTCTGCGAGTGAGTATTTCATTTCTGGCCTTAACACTGTAAGAAACTTTGAAGTTATTCTTCATTAGCTTAACATCTTCAGTCCCATCTCCCTGTACTGCACCATGGTAAGTTTCATGCATTTGTTTTGCATTTGATATCATCACCATGAGGTTACTTTTTCTTTTTACCCTGGTTTCCATTCTTCTACTACCCTTGTCTTCACAGTTTAAGTTACTTCATTTATTAGGACTCAGACACTTTTCCCCAAGATAGGAATCCTCCCAAGAGCAAGAAAGAATAAGAAATAGGTTGCTCATATTGAATCACTACTATGGATCCAGAGCCAGATAATTCAATGATTATCTTAAAACACTTTCATGACAGGTATACATTTGATAAATTTTTAATTCTACCACGAGTTTGCATTATAATTTATTGTATTTTATCCTATCCTCATTTTATACAGAAATGACAAAAATTTGGCCAGTTAACAAATTTATATTAAAAATGATATGAGAATTAATAAAATCAGGTTGCAAAATTTTTCCTTTTCATATTGGGTTTGAATCATAGTGAAAATAGATGAAATTATTTTAGAGAAAATTAAAGAATCTCTCAATATTGAAATCCTATCTTACATATTTTTTGAGAGAGAAACATTTTGAAAAACATTATTTATTGGGAAATTAGAAACCATTTTCAATTCTGTTACTATTCCTGTTGCTATGTTGCTATGGCAACTTTAAATCAGGGACTGACCTAAAGTAAGGTTCACTTTTAGACAGGATGTTAGCTGACCTACTGCCAAATGTTTATTTCTTAATCAGCTGGAATCCTTGCATTAGTATGTTATGAATATAATAGCTAAGAATTTCTGGAACAAAACAATTTTCAAAAGATAATGGCCCCTAACAGATGGACTGGCATATAAAAGTCTGGTGGATTAACTGGAGAGAAAAACTAAACAAAATTAACTTTAAAATGCAGTCATTGACTTCACACAATGCAATTCAGTGAATATCGACTTGTACTGCTTAGAGAGAACCCATCCTCATTCTTTTTTTTTTTTTTTAACAGAACAGATCTTTTTTAAATTTGCCTGTTGTGTGAAATACTCCAGCTTTCTCAGCATTTAAAGCACTTGGTTTCAAATTTTGTCCTACCTGAGAACTTAAGACAAGGAACGTAGGACTGAATTTTATCTGACTGCATGGGGACTTCTGACGCAGACTGATGGATACTGAGGAATGTTTATGTAATTTAATGATCATACACAAGAGCACTGACTTTTAACTGGACTAAAGCCACACTTGGAAGTCTGGCAAATATCATTTAGAATGCCATTTAATCTCTAGAGCACCCCAGTTTAACCGGCACCCTAACTCCTTCCTTGATAACAAATGAAACTGAATTCTCATAAATAGGGGACAGAAAAAAAATTGAGCACAGCCGAGAAACACAGCCTTATAGACTTATTAGGGACCAACGTGTTGCTCATAAAAAGAAGGTCTAGGGAAAGATATAGAAAGAAGAATTATCACAACTTTTAGATAAATACTGAAGCTTGTGGATTATAAAATTTCTCTACTACAGTAAAACACTTTTGTTTTTAACTTCTTTCCTTAAAACAAGATTGATTCCTTTGTAGGAAAGTTTTGGCTCTATAAAGTGTGATTTTTCTTTTTCTTTACCCTTAGCTCTGGAATAGCTGTTTTATCTAAGTATTATGACATCATACTATAATGGTAAAGGTGACTTTCATTTATCAACAGATTTTGTTTTTAATTCCATATTAACATTTTTCATTTCAGTAAGTATTCCAGAACACGATGAGGCAGACGATATAAGTGGTAGGTACTATGCTGCAGACTCTTCTCCCTTGCCTATCAGCTCAAGATTTATGAAGTGTCCTTGTATAAGTGACCCTCTTAGCTTTCCAAAATTTGACTTAAACCTCAATACCAAATGAGACAAGACAGTCCAAATTCTAAAAATTCTATCCTTCAAAATCACAAGTTTGCATGTACCATCACGGTAGTGAGCCGTAGTCATCATTAATAAGAAGTCATAACGACACCAACTTCCTTTTAAACATGTTAGCACTGGCTATAATTGCACGGACCTTTCTTCTTTGTTGTAGATGAGAACAGAGAAAAGGTGAATGACCAGGCAAAGCTAATCGTGGGAATTGTAGTTGGTCTCCTCCTCGCTGCTCTCGTTGCTGGTGTCGTCTATTGGCTGTACATGAAGAAATCAAAGTAAGTTGTAGAGAAAAGGACCTTGCTCCTCACAGCCCCTGACTACTCCGGCTGCGGGTGTAATTTCTATAGCAGTACAGATACATCACCAAATGGTGTTGTTTCCTTTCACAGTGACTACGGGATTCATCAAGGATGTGGCCAGGGGTGTGCTCATGTCTGTTTTCTTCCTTAGTCAACATTCTGAACAACATTCTAGTGTTGTTGCTTTCTGTTTTTGTTTTTGTTTGTTTGTTTTTAATCAAATACTGCCTAAATGCAAAACATCCTACACTTTTTCTTTGAAGTTTACGAATATTAGTGAAAAGAAGGTACACATTTCGGGGACTGAGTAAATGACTGAGCAGCTCCTGCTCTGGCCAGCAATAAAATTGCTACTGAAGTGAGACTATATTTCTCTGTTCTAATTAAATTACTTTATTCCATGTAAGAACCTAATTAAGAGATGGGGGGAAAATCATTACTTTGGCCTTAATGAATACATTGATTAGACAAAATCCTACAAATGCGTTTAGAATGCTTTAGATAAGGTTAGATTAAAAATGATATGAATCATAAAGTACTGCTTGCTTAATAATGGAACTTAAAGATCTAACAGGGGCTAAACAGCACATCTGCCTAAACTAATGAAGATTATCCACACGTACATTTCAAGATTCACAGACACACAGTTTCTGTGAGAATGACACATGCCTCAAACCAGGCTGATGACATGTGGTGTGAGTTCATAGTGACCACATTGCCAACCCGAGGGGAAATGGAGCCTGGCATTTTGCTCGGGTGGTTTTTTGTTTTGTTTTATTTTGTTTTTGTTTATCTGTTTGTTTACTTTCTTTTTGGAACTTTGAAAGTACCATTGGTGATTTTGGAACACCCTCCTGGTTTCAAACAAGGACTTTAAAATAATATCTTACAAGAGAATAAGCGGGTTTTTACAACAGAATATCTCTTACTGGTTCCAATCTGGAACATAATTTTATGTTTTCACTATGTCTGAATTAATCTTTCTAAAAACTCAATAAATATATCTTATTAAAACAGATAAAGTGAGCTCAAACCTATAATTTTAATCTCACCCTATAAACACATGAGCTCCAGGTCTGGGCAGAGTTTCCTGGCAGAGAGACACAGCTGGAAAATGTGGAAGTCACAAAGCATGATGACCACACCTTGACCTTTTGTTCACAGCACATCTGTAAAGTGGACACCATTACTGATCATATTTTACCTTTGAAAGAGATTTTCTTGTGGTGACCAGGTATAATGGACAGGATCATTTGTCCTAAATGAATGGTAACTTGGCTTTACCATATCTCAGGATGCTTTGCTATCCTTTTTCCATAAAAAGTTTTCTGTTGTATTTATAGACGATATACGTGATGTCCGTCCCCTCATGGAGGGCATAGTCACTCTTCATAGTACTCCACTTCTTATCAGTGGTTCTCAACCTTCCTAATCCTACAGCCCATAAGAACAGTTTTCTTCATGTTGTGGTGATTCTGACCATACAATTCTTTTCATGGATACTTTGTAATTGTAATTTTGCTACTGTTGTGAATTGTAATGTGAATCTGCTCTGTTATGACCATCTGATACGTAGGTGTTTCTAAAGAAGTCACAGCACACAAGTTAGAAACCACTGCTCTACACTATTCCTCCCAGACAACCAGTATATTGGTTAGAACTTTTTCAGAGAATCAAACCCGTGAGAGGGCAGGGCGGTGTAGAGGAGGGAATGAAGGAAAGAGAGGAGAGAAGCGAGGGTGGAGAATAAGGATTTTTAATAAGAAATTACCTTACACAGTTGTGGAAGCCACAGTCTCATGGCCTTTATGCAGGAAGCCGGAGGTGCATAAGAACAAGTGTCCAGTGCACTACTATGTCCAAAAGGCTGAGGACCAGGAAAGCTGATGGGATAAGCTTCAATCTAGAGTCAATAAGATAAAGAGTATAGAGCACCAGAGTTTCAGTCAGAGCCTAAAGTGTGGAACAAGTTCAAGAGTAAGAAGGCTGTCCTCCTCCTCCTCTGCTAAGCCTTTGCATTCTTTTGGTACCTTTGATGATGGGAAGAGACTCACACATAAAGGAAAACAATCACCTTAACCAGGTCTTCTGATTCCTATGTTTACCACATCCAGAAATCAGAGACAGAGCAGTATAAAACTTAATAAATATCTGGAGCTATAGGTATGCTACCTGTGGAAAACTTAAAAGAGGACTCTTTGTACCAAGTGAGAAGAAATGCAAAATTGCCAAGATGTAGGATTATAATACAGCAATACAGTAACCTTATACAAATTCTCCCTATATTCACAAAAGTTTTTATGATAAAAAAATGCATCCCAATTCCTAATCCATGATGAGAAACACATCTGACAGCCTAGCATTTAGGATGTATTCATTCTGTTAAGAATTCCTATTAAAGAATGAAACTAAAATGTCGCGGCCTCATAAAAACAGGCTGAAGCATGGACTTTGATCTTCTGCATTATGGTTGAATGAATTTCAAGTCCTAAGAGAATGCCCAACATCTTAATCATACTATGTTAATGGCCAGTATCTCATCAGGCATCAAATGTTCTATGAATAAAAGAAATGTGTCTTTGTGTTACATTAATTGTTACCATATGGCAAACAAAAATTCAGATCACAGATAAATAAATGTTGGACACTTTGTTTAATAATGTCATTAGGTTAGGCCTCCAGCATCCCCTTTAAAGTTTGTCATTAAATTAAGGACCAATCTTAACATGTGACTGCTATTTCACTGAAAATCATACCAAATTTGGTACACTTAATATTGCTGGTAATCAATGTAATAAACTGTAGTTCTCGTCTCAAGCATCAAAGGGACCTTTATAAAGAATGTGTGGGATGCTTCAGATTTTTAAATGCTTTCAGTCCCTTGCCTGAGCCTCTGGAATAAACTGACATTTGTGCAATATGAGTGAGTGTTTAACCCCTTAAGACACTGCCAGAGGAAGTGGAGACTCACCGTTAGAGATTTCAGTTCAGAATCTCTGAAACCATTTTTTTTTAATTTTTTTATTAATTACAGTTTATTCATTTTGTTATCCCAGCTGTAGCCCCGCCCCCTTCATCCCCTCCCAATGCCATCCCTCCCTCATCTTCCCCATGCCCTTCTCCAAGTCCACTGATAGGGCAGGTCCTCCTCCCCTTCCATCTGACCTTCTTCTCAGGTCTCATCAGGACTGGCCACATTGTTTTCCTCTGTGGCCTGGTAAAGCTGTTCTTCCCTTGGGGGGAGGTGATCAAAGAGCCAGCCACTGAGTTCATTTCAAAGTCCAATTTTTACAATGCAGTTGGCAAAACAATGGAGTTTTAGCAACCTTGCAGAGGTATTCTTTGAAATCAGTGTGGTAAACATCATTGGAAAGATAAAAGATTTTTACTCCAACATAGAATTGAAGAGTACATTTGTTTGTATATTTAATGTTTTTTCGCATCATGCATAAATTCATATATAGTTTGTTACCTCATCGTTACTACTTTTTTATTAAGATTCCAGACATGACTTTGCCTTTGTGCATTTAGCATCCTGCCATGGGGAGAAACATGCCAGAAGTTCAGGATGGCACGGCCTCTCCATTTGTATTAAAAGAACTGGTTTTAGGTTGTTTCTTTTCCTTCTTATAATTTGGCAAGCATACAGAAGGAAAAAAAGAAAATGTTCCGTTATTCTCTCAAACCATAAATAATAAACTAAAAGGGAAATTGGATAAAGAGGAGATGTGGGCATATCTAGTTAATTATAGTGTGGTTGGTCACTCAATCCAGAGCCAAGGCTCCCCTCTCTCCTACTGTTTTGACCTGAAAGTCCTCAAAGGAAAGAGTGCACATCAAAATAGAGCATTCATATTTTTAAAAGATTACAGTTTGCTTCCTGAGGAAAAGTATAACCATCTGACCCTGTCATGAGTAACCTTGGCTCCATGTGTATTTGGGAGAAATTGAAGTTATTATCTTACAAACTCTATTTCTGCATCTGGAACATGTAAGAAAATATGTACCTTTTTGTATTTGTATGCGAGTAAACTTATAAATGAAACTCAAAAAAAAAGCAAATTATTGTTGCTTTTGTTATCTTCTCCAAGGTAAGGTAAAAATGCCCCTCTCCTTGCTGTGAGGCAGGTTGTTTCCTGTATCAGTATAAGGAATGTTAGCTGACTCAGAGCCTTGCTGTGGAATGCAACAGGGATTTTTTGTTTTCACAGTCAGATTTTTATCTTTATTTTCATCTTTCAATATTCTGCTTACTGTGCTGTCCACACAGTCACTGTTAGCTAAGATAAAAATGCTATTTCCTGATTTTTTTTAACAGAGGACATAAGCATTCCTTATTTTAGTGAGGAATTTCTCAGAACAGTCCCAAAGTCTAAGGATAGCAAATTGAAAGTTGTAGCAATAAAACCAACTGTTTATTCTTCTCCAAGCCAAGAAATTGCTGCCCACTGTCAGCTGGGATTAAAGCTCTCTCCTCCACCTCTGGCTTTTCATTAATTTTGTCCCATGAGGAGACTCTTTCTGCTGACAGCTGTGAACAGGGAATAGGGGAAAATAGCTAACATCTTGGACATGCCCCTAATCACGCGCACAGGTGTCAATGGTCAGCCTGCTGGAAGTGGCAATTTTCCACTGCCAAAGTGCCTGTCCTGAAAGTTCATAGTCCTGGCACCTTTATGTGGTATAAATTAGCACACTGTAAAATATAAATTAAAACATTTAAATCTGAAGTCAGGAAGAGTTAAGGATTCCTCACACTCTTCGAGAATTTGGGGCTGATTATATACACATGCATGCCTGTTTTTTCAAACCATGAAATCTGTTAAATAACTTCAATATGAATTAATTTGTTTTACAAATATAAAATTCTGAGGCTATTTATCTCAATAACACCTCTCAACATTATGCTGTATTGGTTTGACTTAACATTCTCAAGAACTCCCTTCACATTCCCACTACCCACCCCAACTAAATTA